TACATTAATTTTGGGTTATATGCGGGAGAAGATTTCGCATTTTAAATAACCTCAGGGTAATAACAATTCCCGCCGATCCTATCCGAACTGCGATGGATCCTCCATTTTGGATAGTCGATCTATTATGCCAGCCTTACCTACTCTAGACTGCCCTGGTGCTACTGAGAAGGTTCAATATCTTTTACATAGCTCTCTGAACTAACCAAAGCTAAAGGAGCCCAGCCCATCTCCCTTACTTACTCTAGAAGGAATCGTGCTTCTAAGGAGGTTCAATCTCTTTTACTAACTCAAGTTAACCGATGGGCAAAGCAGACATGAAATCTGGTGCACCAGCGCAGTGAAATATTTGTTATCTATGAAATTCATGAAATCTTTGTAAAATCATGTTTCCACAATTTTGAGTTTTGTTACAAATTATCAATTGATCAAATTGATCCAAAAAAATCCAATATGTGATTAGACAACTATTTTTAAGTTATGTTAATGTTTAATAATTATCAAGATTCTTAACTAAATGTGTTAAAAAGGTAAATTTTGATAGAGAAATCGAAAATATTTTTATGTCCATTTTGGAAATTTATTTTTATTTATATTTAATAATTAAACACTGAAAATACTCTTTCCCCACGTTTTGAAGAACCTACTAGTTTTTTAATTATAAAGGAATACAGCAATTTTCCATATAACCTAATAATTATTTTTCAAAATTAGTGAAATCTCGAAAATCATTTAGAAATCTTTGTAGAATCTGTGAAATCTGAAACAGGTGAAATTCATGAAATCTGTGAAATCACATGTTTGTGTGAAATATGGTCTCTTAAAAGTCGGTTTTAATAAAAAATCAAGATAAGACACGGGTCTTGTTTTGTTCTGCTTTCCCAAACTGTTATATAGTTTTAGTCATCTATTTCATATGAAGGGGAAACCGCCTACCAAAATTTGGAAATATTTCCATCAGGTATTTCCCTAAATTTTCACGTCCTGCCCAAATATTGCTCGTATTTTCGCGTATTACCCCAACATTTCTCCCTATTTTCCCATATTTACCCGTAGTTTGGGCAATATTTTTATTGTCTTACTTTTTTTTGTATGAAGAAACTGACTTGTTTATACCTATTGTTCCTCTCAATAATATCTAAATGACTTAACAAAAATTAATGAATTAATTAAAACATAAGTAAGTGTAAATATTTAAATATGTGACAAGTTACAATATACAAGATATATGTTTAATTTATTACCAAAATAATTAAAAATTATAAAAATACAGAAAATAAATAAAATAACGATAATTGCATATCCAAACCTCTAGATTTCGCATGTTTGGTTTTTTGTTCATCAACTGTTAAATATTACCAAAGTTTAATCAAGATAGGGTTTTCAACGTGGCCCATTATTTTTGATTTGAGTAAAATTGACGTAGATTTATCTTCCGAAGCCTTTTTATACTTAGCCAATCACTCGGTAATAAACATTGAAAGAAAAATAATATCATCATTATTTTTGTATAACTTTAGTCAAGCATATCAATTCTGTTTAAGTGACATCCACTTTTTAATTTTGTTTTTGGAAATTCTATGTTTAAACAAAGAAAATATGAATTTGAATTAGAAACAAGAACAAACAACAATTAGTAAATATAAATGATCTTAAATTTTCAAAGAAATTTTCAAAGGCTACTGTAATGCTATTTACAAAACTCCTGGAGTTTAACTGAAACTGTTCCAGTCAAGCACTGAAGAAGCCAAGAGGATGAATGGCGAAACATCAGCAAGTTCGATTCAAGTTTTGTAAATAGTATAAACGATATTTTTTGCTCCTTGTATGCTCGAAAATACCCAATTATGCATTGGTAAATCGTGCTCAACGTGTCACTTAAGGAAGACAGGGGAAAACTTTTTAAGCAAAAATTAACAGTTGGAAATTGCCTTTTTACAAAACAAGATTTCTTACTTTTTAATAAACTTCCATCTAAGCGTACCTTTAGCCTAATTTGAAAATTACGTACCTTTGACATTTCTGTCAAAATTTTATGTTTTTAGATGGCATTAAAATGTAAGATAGATTAAAAAATCAAATGCCAATATAAAGGCATGAAATGTAATTTCCTTGGGTAGAATAATTTTCTTATTTTTGGATTTTTATCGAAAAATTATTTTAATGGGGTGACAGCTTTTCGATTGGCCACCTTTGAGTTTATACATGTGGTACTTAATTTTCCCTAAATATTCTGAGTAAGTTATGTTGAAAAATTTTCGACTACTCTAAAATGCACAATTTTACAGTTTGCAAAAATGTTCCAAAAATCTAATGGGCACAGAAAACGTATATGTGACACTCTCATAAACTTCATCAGACATTCGGTTATTAAACACTCGCTTCGTTCGTGTCTAAACAAACTCGTGACTAAAGTGTGGTTCATAAAACTTGTTGCGGAAGGCTAACAATAATATTTGTTTTTTTTTTGTTTACTATTAAAGTCGCCGTCATTAACAGACGATATTTTAGATGAGTTGTTGATGACAGACCAGAAGAATATAGTCCTGGGTGTGGTGAAAAATGTTCCAATGAATTTCTCCTGCCTCGGTTTTTGCCGAGTCGAAATTGCTGACGTTTCGCCAATCATCATGTTGGCTTCTTCAGAGCTTGACTGAAACTGGCTCGCATTTTACTCTGTACCTGCTTATAGATTGTCATCGCTTCGGAAGGTTGTGGTGAAGTGTATTTTTTGATGGAACGCTGGAAAAAACACACTTCACCACAACCTTCCAATGAGGCCGAAATGAATCTTACACTTGCCACATCTAAAAGTTCTAAACAAGTAGAACGTCAAAACCAGATTTAACACTTGTCCAAAAATCTTTCAACATCTTCAGTCCGTCAAAGACAAATTTCGAATTGAGATGCCAGGAGTTTACAGCATTCCATGCGTATGCATGCGGCAAAGAATACATTGGAGAGACTGGACGAAAAATATAAACTAGACTCGAAGAATACGAAAGAGCCTTACGACTAAAACAAATAAACTCATCAGCTGTTGCCGAACACAATCACGAAACCGAACATAAAATTTTAACCGCGACTCAGGTCTCTCTCTACCTGTCACCAATATATCAGTCATCGGAGACGGTGCTTTTGCTCCTCATTTAGCTCCGCCCCCCGTCAAACAATATATAAGCAGCTACAGAGTAAAATGCGAGCCAGTTTCAGTCAAGCTCTGAAGAAGTCAACAGGATGATTGGCGAAACGTCAGCAAAAATCGACGTAGGAGTTTCTTTGAAAAATATTCCAATGACAGGCCATGAAATTATTTTAAAACATGGGACCTATGAGGCAAAATATAGTCAAAAAATAGTTGAGGCAATAAAAAGCATAGGCTATTTAACGTAAGTATTGATTCTTTGCTGTTGCCCTTTGGAAGCGTGTTACTGATAAAAAAAAGTTATGACTTGGACTTCAAGTTAACTACATTAACTAAGAAGTTCAATTGTAAGCCTTCAAGCAGTTACATATTATTGAACTTCCTCGATGTTTAACTTTTGGTGGAACCCAATAACTCCTATCGCCGTCACTCTAGTTGCAAATTGAAATGTTTCCTTTTGATGTCACCCTTTGTAAGACTGAAGGATGTGGGCATATGGGTGAAAACGAATCAGATAAAAAACTTAAAGCCGAATGATTCTTACAAAAGCTGAGCCTTCGTTTTTAACGAAGGGGTCATATATAAACGATGACTGGCCATCTCGGCCGTTTTAGTCGCGGCTGTTTACTGGTTTCTAATCAAAAATTCCTACCCGTCTAACAATGGATACAAAACGTGCCACGTAGCCTCGCCATACCAGCCAATATATACCATAAAATTACAATTAATGATTTACGCAAACAAGATGTAAATTGAAACTTAAGCAGCCGTGACAGATCCAGCTCTCTATTCGAATCGTTTCGAGGCGATTCCCGATTCAAAAATGGTTACCTATTGTGGTCCTTTTGGTGTTTTAGAATTGGTTCTTCTCATTCGTTTGATTGGTGCCTATGGTTTAAGTGCTTTCAAGAATAGAACTTTTAGACGGAAGTAAATCTATTCATGCCTAGGCTATTTGGTACAGTTCTATATGATCCTCTTAAATATCTACCCATAGTTTTGATTAGGCCACGAGGTTTGGAGTTGGTCGTGTGCTTTTGAGGTCTATTTAAAGGCCTTCGTTACTTCCCATAATCAAAGCTTTTATATTGTACAATTAGTCTCAAATGAGGTAAGCAATGATTTACTCCATTCCAGGCGCCAAAAGAAATGAAAACTATACCAAAGGAAATTGTCAAGCCCAAAATAAAGTTTATAACAAACCCATCAAAAAATGGAACTGCAAGTTTTGCCCACTAGACCATTGTTAAAGACGCGATTTTCTGGCTAAAATTCAGAGATTAAGTGCACGAATCAACCTGAAGATTTGAAGACAAGGGAAAAATTTCTCTATGATTTTCGTTCTTAGTTTCATAGGAGAAAGCGGTACTATTTTATCAGTTATATTACTTAATTTGAGTTGTATACAATACGATATTCACTGGTTCAATTTATGCAATCAAAGAAAGTTAATTGTTCGTAGATCTGAAATCATCACTTGAAAGAAAAACTTAACCATCTTAGAGTAACGTTAGTAGGTGCGCTAGAGTTGCCAAAAAAGAACTTCCAAGTGTCATCGTCATGGAAAATGCACGAACTTTTTTACAGACGACACACTCTAGCAAAACCTATAGGCGCGCGTTTGTTCCGAAATGGGACGTTGAATTTGAAAAATTGGCCCTCGATTGGGATGGTTTAAATTTTCGCCCTTTTTAAATTTTCCTCAACAAAAAATTACTATTACACAATTTGAAAAATTAGAGTTCTCTGCTTTCCCTGATTTGCTGGTACGTGGACAGGAGAAGGTATACCCTGGCGTTTCTAAGGTTGTCTAAGGAGCCTGCGCCAATTTTAGGCGGTTTCCTTAAGCCTAACTTACCTTTACAATTCATTTCGCTGCCGGAATCTTCCGACGGAGGTCCCGGGGGTGCCCTCAACCCGACCGTCAACCCGTGGGGGTATCGGGGTCTACCGAGAGGCGAAAAAGCACCCGGCATCCCTAAAAGTTGCGCAGCCCCAGGAAACTGCAGGAGAGGAGCCCAAGGGGGTCTCGGATTTAGATGTGCGGCCGCGGCCGCGTACAACTGCAGAGGCGGGGGCAGGACCCCCGTCTCCAGCACCATTTTTCCGAGTTCTTCTGTCACTTTGGCGGCGATACTCGTTTGTCACACGTTTCGCACTAGTCTTAACATGTCACTCGAGGGAAAGGCGCTCCTGGATTTATCGGTATAGCACACAAGTCACCAGAACGCGTCGTAATCGATCAGCTATAGTGATGTCCGGGCACGTTGTTAATGCCTGCACAACCCAGCGATGGCAAATTACCACTAAAGTCGGTGGCAACGTCCGCAACGGCGAACTCTCCCCGACGATATGTAAAGGGGTGGGGATCGATAGGCGATCGCGCGAGACGTTGGTCGCGCGTGACTCCGCCCATCGCGCGACCACGCCTCCAGCAGCCCGTCGAATATCATTACGGGGGAATTTAAGGTGGTGTCAATATGTTTTGTTATTTATTGGCAAGATTGATGGGGGCCTTTTTGGGTGCTAGTTGAATTTTGATTTTATTATTTTTTGATGTATTCGCGCCCCGCGGGTTTGCGGGAGGGTGGTGGTTTTTTGTTGGGTAGCTCGGAAATGAGATGGTATTTTTGTCCTCTTTGATGCAAGACTAGATGGGTAGCTGGTATGGCGAGTGGTCCTAATTGTCTTTGTAAGTGGCTTCAATTAAAGGTCCTGATAATTTTCAGTTGTTTTTCATATTTTCAGCTTCTTCTACTTCCAAAGGCTGCTTGCGTTTGTTTTCTTTAACAGGCCATATTAAAGCGTTCTTCAAGTCCAAAAATAACAAGTCCCGAATAATATTGCTAATCTATCCTAACCTTTTATCTGTATTTTATTGTAATCTTGCCCAGATACCACGCCACATCCATTGAATTTGTCAAATTGGTGCATATGTTATCCATTCAGTTCAGGAAAGTCTCTGGACCTTCAATGGACTATCATTTTTGTACAACTCCTCGACATGCAATAGCCAATATCTTTTGGATATCCTTCAAATATTTCCCCACTGTAAAATGATGCAAAATCGACCGAAAGCTCATGTCAAGGAACATTTATTAGGTGCTAGTTGAAGACTATCGTTACTTCAAAAATTTGCAATTTAAAGTAGGACTGATATAGTTACATTCTGCTAAGTTATAGTAGATTTGAAATGATGACTCTATAATTTGTTTATCATTATTTTTAAAAAATGGGGGCATTTTCTATAATCTCCAACAGGGAATCCAATCACTTCGCTGTTTCTGTCTCGCACTGACATATCTTGCATGCAACATGTCTTATTCGAGATTCGAGAAAATCCCCCCATCTAGATATTATAATGCGACGTCACGTCCTAAAATTAGTATGTATTGATAGAATAAGAAGAATCGTCACTATCTAAAAAGTAAAATCTTAACAACCTAACCAAGCAATTCTCGTCATGTCACCAATTTCGTGAACATGTATTACTTATACCTATACTAATTATTACTAGAATAGTTTAAAAACTTTAATATTTAAATGTTTCTTTTTTCAACATTTCCTAAAAAAAATTTTGGATTTGGAAAGAACTGTATGTGTCTTCCAAAAGTAAAGTTTTATATGTTTGGTTCCAAAATGTGTGTTCCAAAAGTAAAGTTTTACATGTTTGGTTCCAAAATGTGTGTTCCAAAAGTAAAGTTTTACATGTTTGGTTCCAGAATGACATGACGGTGGCTTAAAATGTGCCATTTGCGTGAATACCAACTTCTTGAAACCATGGTTCTTATAGTTGACTATTTAAAATCCACCTAGGGATAAGTATAGCTTATAAGGATATTCTTTTTGGGAACCGCAGATATAAAACAGACGGGTGGAAAACTCAAGGTCTCTAATGGATTAATGGGTACCTACTGCGTTTGGTTGGAAGCGCAAACTTACAACTGGTGCCCGCGTAATTAAAGCCATTCGTTTTGGAGAACCGACGGTACCACAGGCGCGAAAACTTAATAGTATTCGTTTCCACGCGTTCCATACCATAACCAGGTGCTAATTGGGGCCCACGTCTTAACGCCCGTTTCGTTTGGCACCGACGTTTTAATTTAGAAAGGGCACCAACGAGATCTGCAGGGGCTTTAACTGGTACCAGATGCGGATCTAGTACAATTCCTCACCAATATGATGGAGGTGGTTGTAGTATTACAAAGATTTCTTTGTCGCAATAATAAGGTCTAACATTTTGTTATTATTTTACAGTATATAATGACATGAACAGCTGAATACTATCAAAAACTAAATTTTACATTTGATATGGATTTTTTTTTCTCTAAACCTACAACCTACAATTTAGCCTATGGAGTAATTTCGCTTAGATGGTGAGATGGCGCTTTTCAATAATGCAAAAATTTGAAAGCCAAATCGGCTTTTATCTTATGCTTCTTTGAGATTATATTGACGTGAATGTGTGAATGTACATTAAAAAGAGTAAAGAAAAATTTTAATAAAAGAAATGCCATACAAAGTGTGAATAAAACACTATGGGGAAGGCTTGTCCATCAGAGGTTCCCATTTTCGTTGAAAAAGAATTTATTAAATAATTTTCTGTGCGACTATGTTAGTAACAAATAAATTTGGGCATCTTTCGCCAAAAGCTCTCGTATTTCAAGAGAAAACGGTCGTTACGGATCTGACGTCGCGCGCAGCAAAAACCAGCGAGATAATTTAATTTGAAATGAGGCACCGCGATTGAAACATTACTTCTTCTCACCTCCGACTGATTTATTTGACGTGGGAGCGTATATTGAACGCGGACTATCGTGTACGGGCGGCTTTAGGCCGCTGCCAAAGGAAATTTAAATTTCGTTCTGGTGCGTACGAGTCTCTATTAAAGTGATTAATGGCGAGAGCGCGCGGAGAGATTCTTATTACGTTGTTACGGCGTGCCAGAACAATGACGGCGTATATGGATACTTACAGGGTGGCGCGAGGAGGAGCGAATCGACCACCGAACATAAATGGTCCTTCGATCCGGATGCGGAAAATATTAACCGGCAGCTTATAATCTCGCGTGCAAGTATTTCCCACACCCTCCCGTGGCCTCCCCCTCCACCACCACCAAAAAAAAGCTCTAGCGAATTGAAGGATGTTGCGGCGGCGCATGCACCGTTAATCCCTGGGACATCTTTATAAGCCTGTTATCTGCTTGGTATCTAATAAATCGTCCGGGTATTATCATATATTATCCCGTTTATCGGAAAAGTATGCCCTGTGGGAAACTTTATCGGTGGGCCTGCGAGTGCGTCGGTTAATCGCGCTGAACTGAATGTATCAAATAACGTCAAATTAGAAGACGCGTTAAATGGTTAAAACGTTCAAGGTTCGAAGTTTCGGAGGTTGCCTACGCGGTTGAACGCTGCATTTTTTTGAGTTCGGTTGATGCAAGCTTTATTTACACAGAACTATTAAGTTAAGTGTTAAAAATTATCGAAAATTGCAGAAATGATCTTTTTTTAAGTGGGTCAGTTATGTTTAAAAAAACATATTTCCGGCGGTAATTGTTGATCTAATAGTTTTGAAAATATTATGAATGAATTTTTCATAGCAAAAAAATTGGCGATTTTTTGATTATGCACGTCTTTGAGAAATGCCCTGTAACATCTACTTTGTAAAAACCCCTTTCTCTATAAAAGTATAAAGTTACTTTTTATCTATACCCATTAGGTTAGTTAATTAGAAACAGTCTGTATAATGAGGAGAAGTCATCTCTTTTTTTACCTAATATTTCTAATACATAAACTAACCAAGACTTACCAAGACTTAACTTGGCAAGATGAAAAGATAATGATATTACCAGACGATCTGGTCTAGACGTATTAGCGAAACAGGTGCTTTTATTAATTTTTAATTCTTCTCTTAACAACTTCGTGGTTCTGGTTCTGCTCCATAAAAAAGGAATATGCTCTTAGCCTTTATCGAGGATATTATTCGCCTTTTTATGTTCCAATTTCAGCAATCCTGCTAAACTAAATTCTGCTCTCTCTTTCTTAACTCTCTCATGGTCATTTTTTTGAATCTGATTTTTTTTGAAACGTTAAAGCTCTTTTAATGCCAATTTTGCTTACGTTGCATAGGCTTTTGTTTGCGTAGGGGGGCCATTCCATCAAAATAAATATAAACAAATAAATTGAAATTTCATTGTATTTTAAACATTATTTCGGTCAATTTTTTCCAATTTAAAATTTCAAAAAAATATTTTAACATGCAAGTATTGCATACTCGATATACTTTTTCAAGATATTTAAAAATATTGAAGACAATTAATGCCTAATTAAACGTTACTTTGTAAAAGTTTAAAAGGCAATATAAAGTTTCAAATGAAATGTAACGAATCTAGTACGTTCTATCAATCACATAAACGCAATTGCAGCGTTGAATGATGTTTAATTCCAATTTTAATTGTTTTTCTGTAACCTACTTATACTTAGGATACCATTACTATTGCAAGCAGCTTGGAAGAACTACAGCGAATAGGGTAACAGAAGTCAGCATCGAATATAGCTTAAATTGTTACCCTAATAATATCTGTAAAAAAGACAATAAATACAATGATAGACCACAAGTGCTATTCAACATAAGTTAAGTTTAACTTAATGGTGTGATTACATTCCTATAAAACTCTTTTTAATTTGTAATCACTGTATAAAAATCTGTAGAATTTCATGCAAAATGTAATTTTAGACATATTTGTGTTGCATACAGATGGCCAATGATCTAGTGTCTAATTTTACATTTTGTAGGTATAAAAAGTATGTAAACTTTTTAATATTATGTATCTGCAAATTATGTCCCAGTATACATAATTATAGTGTTTTTTTAAATGGTATTTGGTTATTTTAAAAAAATAATTTTTGTTGTTTGTTTTGTTTGTAATTTTGTTTTTGTTAAACTTTAAAGAAATTTCCAATAAAAGCTGTAAAAAAGAATCCGAAACTCTGTGGGAAAATATTTTACAAAAATATGATTTATTAATTGTTGTATGTTGTACCTGTTGTACCATAGACCCGAGCATCTAAGACTGCCTATCATCTTCTAGGCCTAGAACCAACACATTTTTGAAGATTGTCTGCACGAATTTGCGACTAAAACTAACCAAAACTAAAGAGATTCTGTTGATTTTTAACATTAAAATGCATTCGAATATGCGGATCCAAGACATGGTCAATGGGGTTCAGATCTGGGGATTGGGACGACAATTGAAGTAGAGTTGTGTTTCTCTCTCTCTCTCTAAACTGTTCTTCACTGACTTGGATGGGTGCTTCGAATCATTGTCCTGTTAAAATCGCTGTATTTTCCAATATCTTCTGTAACTATTTGAATGATTGGCCTGCCCCAGATGAAAAAAAAAAACATTTCCCGACCATTGCTCCACAGTTTGGGAGTGGGAATTTGGTAATTTGCCTTGAATCTTCCACTAGCATTTTTACATATTTCGAGAACCAGATTTAAACATGCAAAAATTGCTTTAAATTTTCTACTATAATACTTCTTACAAAACTTCTGGATTCCTTCGGTTTTTGCTGAGTCGAAATTGCTGACGTTTCGCCAATCATCCTGTTGGCTTCTTCAGAGCTTGACTGAAACTGGCTCATATTTTACTCTGTACCTGCTTATATATTGTTTGAGGGGGGCCCTAATGAGGCGGTATAAACACCGCCTCGGATTCCCAAATTAGTGAGAGCTAGGGACCTGAGTCGCGGTTAAGATTGTTAGGTTGTTTATAGATTTCTATAGACTCTCGGAATTTTCGTTGGTAGAAGAATTGATTACATTGAAGAATTTTAGTTTTATGGAATAAAATTTTATGTCCGGTTTCATGAGTGTGTTCGGCAACAGCTGATGAGTTTATTTGTCTTAGTCGTAAGGCTCTTTCGTGTCCTTTGAGCCTAGCTGATATTTTTCGTCCGGTGTCTCCAATATCAACATAACGCCCCCCTCAAACCTCCCCCAAACAAAATATGAGCTACTTTCAGTCAAGCTCTGAAGAAGCCAACAGGATGATTGGCGAAACGTCAGCAATTTCGACTCAGCAAAAACTGACGCAGGAGGAAACCAGATGTTTTGTAAAAAGTAAAAATTGCTTTGATCGTTTAAAGTAAATCTACAACTTTCTGTCCGAAATCAGGTGAAATAACTATATTTACACGATATTTGCACTGTAGCATCAATGCCGAATAATTTAGAACACAAATTTCCATTTTCCATACTTATTTTTAACCAAAAACCCCTTTTCCCAAAAAAAACATAATAATCTTAAAACATTAATAATATAAACATAACTAAAAGTTTTTTCACACTTTCTCCACCACTTTATAATTACAATAAAATAAAATATTTAGTTTTCGAAAAACAAAAAACGATAGAACATTTGTTGTAAATAAATAAACTACCAGAGCTTGGTGCCGCCACTGGATATCAATTTCGAAAAAAGCACCTAACCGAATTACATAGTCCCGCCGTTTTTCTATTCACGAACGACCGGTATTAAAATGTTTTGAACGCCTCCTGACAGCTCTCATTTTTTAGTTCCGATTGTTTGCTTTGCCTCGTCCCTCCCTAAATAGAATGAAGTTTCGGGTCCTCGATCGACGACGATTCGATACGCTTCGCGCTTAAAAACGATCTATTATCTCCAAAGTCTTATTGTGTTTTCCAACTAACCAAAACTTGTCGCGCTTCTAGCGGCGCATTCAAATTTGGAAGCTTCTATATCGCGTTTAAGCGATCTAGCCAAGCGACGTTGACAGAAATCCGGCATTTTAAATTGCCGTGAAAAATGAAAGGATTTAATGATGGAGTAAGTAAATTTAAATCGTCGAATGAAGGAATAAATTGTTTCAGCATTAAATAAGACAATACAATTATCTTCACAAACACGATAATAATAAGCACTTCATTTCACTCAAACACGCACATACAGAAAGCGAAATAGCGAAAAACAACAAAAAAAAAAACTTGAAAAAATAAAAATAAACAATGCGCAAACACTTCTCTAACACACTTTCATATTGTCAATGGATATATAATTATGGCATCTTTGACGGCAGGTTTATGTTTAGGCAATTTTGTGTTCTGGCGGAATAGTCTTGTGTGTAGCTGTTAATATATTGTTATTTTTATATTTCCACCTACAGTAAATGGCGAGTAAGAAAGAAACTCCAAATTGGATAATAATCAGTATTATTAATTTTAGAAGTTGGTAAAAGAAGATCTTCTGGTATTGTGTGGATGTTGGCGATTAGTATGACTATTCTTACTTTGCTTAATGCAAATCCAAAATATTGAAAATCAGGATTATTACAAAAGATGTTATTTTATTTCGTCTATAGTGAACCTCTAAACGATCTTTTAAAGACAAGCGTCCTTCTTTGGAGTAACTATAAAGCGACCACACTGTTCCAAAAGAGAAACCTTATGCTCAAATGTTAATGATAGCCTATCATTTTGACAGTTATTTTTGTTACCTGCAGAGGACAACAAACAAAATTTGTTTTTTTTCAACATTTTTTAATATAGTTATTTTTTATTTATTTGTACAATTCTTTTGGGTAATTGTTTATTTATTTTTTGTCGAAGCATTAATAAACCCTCCAGTAAAGACAAATAAAAGTTTTGTGTCTTTCAGTGTGTAATAACACTTTCAGGCGTTAATACCGGTTTATCTTAAAACTACCCCAAAGTGACTTAAGCCATTTTTCCCGACTGCTCTTTATTTGTTACAAATGTTATTAACAAGGGCGCACTAAATATCAGCCTTGGCCTTAAAATGTTTTCATTTGTTAAATCTTTATGTTCTTTTTTGATACCCAATTAAACTTAGGGTTAAATGGTGTATTTCCAATAAAAACCGACCTACTGTGTTGACTGAAAAAAACGAATCGTTCAGAAAATACAATGCTTCAATGGCATTGCAATTGATGACAGCTAGCGCCTCTCTTGCACTCTACAGAGCTTTCTACGTACATCTTCAAATTCAAATCTGAAAAAAAAATTCGGACGTCAGCGAATAATTAAATTACAGTTTCTAAAGAATCATCAAACAAATTTATTATTATTATTGTTTGTTTATTATTCAAAAAGTAAGAAGCTTAACAAAATAGGATAATAAACGAAGTATCACCCAAAGTAATGCTATGTTATGTGGAGGTAAAAGTAGTAACTATTCTTTTCTAGTTTTAGTACCATTAGGATTGAGGAGGCGGAGGTATCCCAAAAATTTAACCTTTAGACGTTTCTGCCTGCATATAACTTGACTGGTTCTGTGATATTTTCTAATATTGTAAAAAGATCTGAAGTAAACATTTTGAACTTTCTGGAGTCTCACTAGAGAATTTAGGTCCTCGTTATCTTTAAAGCTGCATCAAAAAATATCAAAAAAACAGATACATCTTGTAAAACACAAGGAAAGTCGCATGGCCCGGACGGTATTCCATCTATTTTATTAAAAAAACGAGTGTGTGCCTTGAGTGGGCCCCTCCGCCACATTTTTAATGCTTCCTTATCGTTCGGTGTTTTTCCTGATTACTGGAAAAATGGTAACAGAAGCAATATTAGTAAGTATAGAGGTACATGCATACAATCTGTCATTTCCAAACTTTTTGATAAACTATTCTGTCAGCATTTCTCCTGGTATTGTAAAAAAATTATTTGTGACAACCAGCACGGGTTTCCTCGAGATAGGTCCACTGTGACTAACCTGCTGACTTATCAGCTGGATCTGTTGGGCGCTTTTGAAAAGTCTAAACAAGTGGACAGTATCTATACGGACTTTTCGAAGGCGTTTGACAGTCAGTCATGAGCATCTTGTTCGTAAGTTTCGAACCATGCGACTGGGTGGTACTCTGGTTGAATTTTGTCACAGCTTTTTAACAGGGCGTACGCAGCAGGTTCGAATCAACAATTATGGTGCACTCGGGTGTGCCTCAGGGTTCACACATAGGTCCAGTTTTCTTTAATTTGTTTATAAGAGATTCAGTGATGTGGTTCTTTGCAGATGATTTCAAATTTTACAAAACAATTGAATCATTTATGGACGCTCAGCTTCCTTGGTGCAGAAAAAATGGTCTGGATCTAAATGTTGGAAAGTGTTTTAGTATTACTTTTTCTCACCTAACTAACACCCATCAAAACAGATATATTATTAACAATACAACGATACAGTGTGTCACCAAAGTTCGGGAGCTTGGAGTCATCTTTGACAGTAAACTGACCTTTTTCGATTAGCCGGAGGATATTGTTAACAAGAGCATGAGAGGTCTGGGTTTTATTACCCGTAATAGTACACTGATCTCATCCGGCTGTTTTAAAACCCTTTATTGCTCCTTAGTTAGATCTACACTGGAGCATGCATCAGTAGTGTGGTCTCCACATTACTTTCCTCCAGTCCATTGACATCTATCAAAGACGTCAGAGCTCCCCGATGTATTGTATTCCATTTCATCACGCCAACTATGGCTATTTTTCTCCTTTAACTCGAAACTTGAGTTTATTTAACAGTTGCTCTCTTGATCCCCTTGCTGGCGGTCTTCGACTATTTAAGACAAAATTAAAACAGGTTGGTTGACTGTAGTTGTAACTAGTGTTTTTGTGCTTTTATATGTTTTATATGATTATTTAAAAAGCTTGTTATCTAAGTTGTTGTTTTGTCATGTTGCTATTTATATTGTTACTTTTTTTTTTGTAAATTAGCTAAGCCGTTGAAATAAATAAATAATTATAATTAGAGCAATAGCAATATAAAAGCAGCGGTCCCAAGATAAAGCTTTAGGGTGGGGTGTCTCACAGAAATGGTTGTAGATTTAATATTGTTGTAGACAACATTTTGCGAAATTATGTCATAGTAAAAAATAGAACTTTTGACAACGAATTTTACAACATGATATGGTGAGTGTAATTTACAAATAAAAAATTATGTGCTTCTCTACGAGTATTTGGAAAACTGATGTATCAGCTCTTTGTTAATTATACATGTTTTTAAAATTTTGGATTTTGAGCATTTTCCATTAGTTAGATCATATTTAAATAATAAACAAATTAAATTTCGTAAAATGGCAATATATGATAAAATATATTTACATTATTTGTGGATTGCGTCTAAGGTGTGACTTTTGATTGCACGTTGACGAATTTTGTCAAATAGCAAACGAATGATTCAAGGGTGGGACATTATTTGAAACTCACTAACAAGTCATAAATAATATCTTCTCTGCGTTTTTTCTGTAGTTTTTTATACCGAAATTCCTAACTAAATGTATTTCTGCTTATTTCTATAAAGAAAATCACTTAAAGTGTTAGAAAAATTAAAAAATTAAGAAATATAAAAAAAATATCTAAAATTTAAAATTTATATTTGTTAATTTAACGCTGACACTGACCAAACTCTTTCTGACTTTTAAAAATATCGTTTTAAATATATTTTTACTTAATTATGTCTAAATGACAAACATTTTCCACGTTACATAAAATTGTTTTTCAAACTCTGAATCCGATTGAATCTTGCTGGAAATTTGTGAAATCACATGGTTGTGTAAAATTTTGTGTGCCAATTTTGGATAGCAAAGTATTTTTGTAACGTCAAGCCCGGGCGTTGTTAATATTTTCAAAGCTCAGCCGTTTCAGCGTTTAACGTCGCGTTTCTAGGATCGTAAAACTCATATTCGTTTAAGTTTCACGTATGGGTTAACCTTAGGAGTGCCGTATAGTACCGTCATGTGTTTGACCCTTATTGCCAGGCAAATTAACGTGAAATAGTCAACGGTAAAAATTAAACAATTTGAGAAAGTTAATTTAAAAACTCTGGCGTTCTGGCGTGCGGCAATACCACAGTTTTTAATTGCCGTTCATGAGTTTGTCGCTACGAATGATTGCTATTTTCTACACTACCTATCTGCAAATATAAGTTAAAGAAATCCGGGATCTCACAAAAAGTTTAAGCCGTTGTTTTAAACAGGGCGTTTTTTTTTTGTATTTTGAGGGAAATAAAGTTGAAATCCTTAACAAGAATTTCAGGGGAATGTGGGACTCCCTATATATATATATATATATATATATATATATATATATATATATATATATATATATATATATATATATATATATATATATATATAGATTTTGGCGAAACGTCTGCAGGATTCCAGTCGGAGTTCAACAAGCGAACGGATGATATCCCGGAATATAGTGTCATCATATATATATATATATATATATATATATATATATATATATATATATATATATATATATATATATATATATATATATATATATATATATATATATATATATATATATATATATATATATATATATATATATATATATATATATATATATATATATATATATATATATATATGATGACACTATATTCCGGGATATCATCCGTTCGCTCGTTGAACTCCGACTGGAATCCTGCATCCGACTGGAATCCTGCAAATCTTGCATCCGACTGGAATCCTGCAGACGTTTCGCCAAAATCTCACTTGGCATCTTCAATGCTCGCGCTCCGAAAACACTTCGAACACTGGGAGGTTCTCGGCGGTGCGTGCGGTATTTATACTCTGCGCCGGAGATGGTAACGGTGCTGCTTGTGCGTGGGGGGAGGTGGCTCCGCCCCCTGAATTGTCGCGTTGTTAATTTCGCCCGATCGTAGTTGCGATGTCCCCGTTGGCTGCTGCGCATCGCTCTGCTGTTTGATTATCGTTCTCCACGTGTTGGATAAATGCAGAGCGTCGTCTCTCGTATTGAGGTGTCCGGACTTTTCTATTTCGATGGCCTCTCGTATAATCCTAGTCC